GACCGAACCTCTTGTCTGACCACGCTAAGGAGGACTGTGGATTCATAGCATGTGTGTGACGTTGTCCCTGGGACTGCAATTCAAAGATCTGAAATAGGAGGCTCAAATCCTTCCTGCCCTCAACTCGTTCACGCAACACCTTTAGCTTGACCCCAGGATCTTTTCGCTCATTAAAACTGGACCATCGACACCACCCCCTACAAGGGAAAGATACGAAAACGTCCCTGGGCTGACACAAATCAATGAGCGAGAGCGTGAACCATTGACCTTCAGGGGACCGGAGCTCCTGGCCATACATGTATCCCAAGCGAATGGCTTCCGAGCCATCACACAGCTGCTCGTGCGCATCACTCAGGCGACCCAATCCAGTGTAAACCTCGATAAGGCCTACATGGGAACCGCGATCAATCTTCCATGCCTGAGCTCCTAGCCACAACTTGAGCTGCGCTCTTGTTGCTCGCTTGTTCATATCAAGTGGCCCCCAAGCCTGCCATGCCTGCGGGAGGTTCAAATCGCTATTCACTGGTACTTCTACGCCTACCTCAGGTGACAACCTAGGCCACGCAGTACCTAAATGCGAGCCTTCCTCCCGAGACTCAGGGCTTAAAGGCTTGGGTGGCACACACAACTCTGCAACACAAGCTAACGCAGCAGCACTTGCTCCCAGCCATCCGAGAAGTCGGGGTCGCGGGACAGTCCTTGGTAAGATGCCATGCTGCTGGTCTCGACGGAGCTCCGGCCTGCGGCGCTGTCATTGGCATCGGCGCCGCTTGACTGGCTTGGCGCCTCAACCACGCTGCTTTCGCAAGGAGCTCGGCAGCCTGACCCTCCAGCTCGATGGCCTGCTCGATGAAGTTCTTCTCCATTGGCACGTCGGTGCTTGTGGTCTGCGGCTGCACTCCGTACTCCTGGTGGATCATCGTCTTCACAGCATCCAAAACCGTCTTGATATCCGGCGTGGAAGCTGGAGCTGGCGCCAAAGGACCCGTAGACGGCATAGATGTCATCGGTGGCGCCGCCTTTGGCTTCGCCTCTGCCCGCGTCGCTTGCACTTGGTCTATTGTCACTGTCGCCTTGATCTTCGGAGTCGCTTCCACATTGTCCATGGATCTCGAAGTACTCCACTCCGGAGCTGCCATCGCTGTTGGGGGCAGGGTCTTCGGATGAACCTCTTGCTTCTGCATTGTAATCTTCCGGACATCGAACGGATACGGCACATGCTTGCTCTTCGGGAGGTACGCCTCGGCGTCGGCCACTCGGATAAGATCTCCGGTGACAAAGGGAGCATGTGGCGAGGTAGCCATCGGTCCTGGAACCATGGTGCATTCGCAATCCTTGCGGTGAGTGTATGTCACTTGCCCGGTTGACCGCACGAGCTTCGCCAACCGGCCCCGACACACCTTGCACTTTCCACGGCATGTCGCACAGTGCCACGTCTGACCGTGGCCGTTGGAGAATGTCTCCACCAAGTGAATGCCCACATGAGCGTAACCTGGCGGGGCGGTTGACTCCTGGAGCACACACTGGCACTCGCTCATCGCTACTACTCTCTTCGCAGCTTAAGTACTCTAGTTCGCTGTTCTCAGAGCTCTGGAGCACAGGCAAAGTCAGAGATGCATCACGTCTCTCCTCATTCACATGACCTGCCACCAGAGCCTGATTCCCGAGCTCAGACGAACTTGCAGCGAACCCTTGCTCTAAACATGCATGAACTGGCTCACCTGACAAAACACTGTCCTGTGGCTTTACTGCAAACACAAACAGGAACAGTCTGGCATCAGAGGCTTCCGTTGCAAGCGGTTCACCCGCGCATTTGGCACACTCAGTCCAATCTTTCAGTACCCTAAAACTGCGGTCACCCAAGGCCACTACTGACACGCAAGCCTCTCTCAGCAAGGTTGCCGGTGGCCGCCTGACCACCTTTGATCGGTAGCCGATCTGCGCAGCCCGGATCTGCCAGGGCACGTCAACCGTGTCTACCCAAAATTAAATGCACTGCAGCAAGCTCTTGCGGTAGCTTCACCCAAGGACCCTTGGTATCCCTAGCTAGCCTTAACATTACACTCTTAGCTAGCTTGTCTGTTCGCTTCGAAAGCTCTGTGCATTTTGGCTGATATCTTAAAGTTTCTGGGGGTTCCGGAGGATGAACTACATTGTTCGTCTGCAATAGTCCCGGCCTTGACTCGGCCACTAGTTGCTGTTCATCCTCCGGACCACCGAGATCAGCCTCGGCTGCAGCGGACAAGCTATGCTCCAAACCAGGTGGCGGGCTAGGGGTCTTATGAAAATCGAACATTGGAAGGAGATAATGACCCACAGCGTTTACGGCCAACTTGATACAACCAATGCCGGGGATATCTAAAACATCCTTCTCACAATCCAGCTTAGCCCGCATCTGTCGAAGCGCTTGGATGGAAAGCAAAAATGGGGCCTTTCCGGGAATCACTGCGGCATTGATAAACCCATCGCGGCCACCTATCCTGACAGGGTATTTCACCTGATAGGTTGCCCGAGCTTCGCCATTGATCCCTTCAAACTTAACATCTGAAGGCCCGCGTTCCGCCTTTAAACTTCCTCCGGATTGTCTTTGCAGTTCTTCATTCCAGCGTCTCTCGCTCTCAGACCCTACCAACGTAGACGTGCATCCAGTGTCTACAATGGCATGGCCGGGGGGAACTGCAAGACAAGCCTGTTCTACATCTGGCGCTTCGGCTTCCAAGCCTAGCTGCCTATCCCAAAGAAGACAACGTTCAACCTCTGACTCTGAAATGCGTTGCAAGGAGCGTGGAAAAACCATGAAGCTGAACTCCGGACAAAAACTCGAAGGTGGAGCTCCGCTGGGAGAAGGATTCGGAGACAAAATCGACTGCTCGGCCCAACCAAGATACTGAGCACCATTCGGATCACCTCGGCGACCGCCGGTGCGCTTGCCAGCGCCCTTGGGCTTCCGCCCTTGGCCCTTTGACTTTCTTCCTTGGCTGGAGGGCCTGCCTCGAGAGAAACTGGAGGGCCTTGCCGAAGATGAAGACGAGGATTGGCCAGGACGCCATTGGAAATCTCCACGGCCTGACCGCCCTTCACGAGCGGGGCGATGCCGCACGTCCTTGCCCTTCCCCGCCTTGGCCGACGAAGCTCCCTTACCGCTCGAGGCTTCAGGGGGATCCTTGAAGCCACGAGCCTTCCTGAGACTCAGCAGCTTCTTCCTGGCCTCCAAGTAGCCAATCATTGCCGAGTCATACTCTTCATCGCCATCTTCCACAGGGCCGTCCTCCTCTTCAAACTCTTCCTCCTCGTCTTCGACGTAGCCTCCGAACTCATCTTCGTCTTCAAAGTCATCATCGTATTCGTCTTCCTGGTCGCCAGCGTTCTCTTCGTCATCGAAGTCTGCGAAGTAACCATGGCCTGCCGCCTTGCTGCCGCGCGACGCCACAAGGGCATCGAGCTCAGTGCGGCGTAGCAACTCCGAAACCTTCTCATAACGCAGAGAACCGCCAGCCGATCTCAAAAGACTCGCCCTTGTCTGAAGCGTGATGCCGACGTGGCGCAAGTAGAGGAAGCCTTTCATTACCTCCGGCACGCGGAAGGGAACCACTGGAGCTGGGTCCCTCGGAGGAGTCGGAGGAATTGGAGCTGGAGGCGGCGTCTCCCCTTCCGCAGTTGCTGCTGCGGCCGCCTGGTGCTGCTGCAAAGCGACCATGTAGTCAAGACTCTGGCGCCTGTACTCTGCTCGGGCCATGTCTTGTTGACGCCTCCTCTCCAACTTCAATTCCTCTGTCATGAGCTCTTCCGCCTTCGCCAGAGTGGTCTCAAAGCGGGTAGTAAAGGCTGTAGTCTCTTCGCCTTGCTGTCTGCGCAGCTTGTAGAAAAGAGTTTCCAACCACTCTGAAAGCTCCTGCTCTGCTGTGTACTGGAAACGCAGGTCTAAGATTTCGAGCATTGTCTTGACGCCATCTGTGTTTCTGAATTCTCCGGGGTCTCGTTCTCGGAAGCATTCGAAAGCCGAGCCCGTGAGGGCTGAGATCAAACGTGGCGCTGCAATGCTTTGCTTGGAATCCTCCAAACCGTAGTAGTATAGGAGGGCCCGCCGCCTGTACTCTCTGTAAGATTCCAGGCGGCCATCAAAGGTCGGGATCTTCTTGTCGTCGTTGGTCTCCATGAACGCGAAGCCGTCCTCGTCCAAACACTGGAACCGGCAAAGTGCTGTGCCCTGGATCGAAAGGCTAACACAGAAGAGCTCCAAGCTCCGCTGCCATGTTGACAGCAGCAATGCCGTTCCCTCTATCAAGCTCAATAGCCTGATCATGATACTGTTTAGGAGTATCTCCTCAAGAATGAGTATACTGAACATCCAGTCAAATGGTACATGAAGCATGTCTGCAGAATGCAAAGCCTAAGCTCTTTTCCGTGCCTCGGACTGGCCTCGTGCATGCTTGAGCCACCGTAGTGGCGGGTGCCCGGAGGTATCCACTGCACACATGATGAGCAGCATAAACTGTTCTTCAATTCACAATAAGTGTCCTGTCACTGGATTGCACGCTAATATTGATATCAATATTTCTACATCCCAAGAATATCCTCACCATGTCGACAAAGCCATGTAAGCATGCCTCGATCCAAGGCGTCGCTTTGCAAATAGTACCATGTAACAAACTGTCCCCATTTGCTCTTGCAACTATTGTGAACAATTAGGTTTTGTGTTGGGAAATATTAATCGATGGTAACGAAAATTGCATTGTTGGTCGAACTGGCTCTGGCAAACCAAGCTTGTTTTTGTCATGCTCAATGCCCCCCCCCCAAAGAATCAAAGACACATTGGTTAGTGAGGCTCTATCAAAATGGAGAAGCAACGGTAGCAAAACTACACACCGAAAAATTCACTAAATCAACAATACGGACCAACCTAAAGAACATAATATGCCTTCCCTAAACCCCAAACCCTAAACCCTAGAACGTTAGAACCTAAGGCCGAAGGCAACAACCGGGTTTCGCGACTGTGTGAGGCTGATCTCATTTGAAGTTGCCCACCTGGACGTGGTGGAGAAGGAGTCTGGGCTTGGGGGCCCGGGGGTTAGGAGGGTTTAGGGTTTAGGGTTTAGGGTTTAGGTTTTGAGAGTCTAGGGTTTACGGTTTTAGGGTGTCAGTGGCGTATGCTTTTCCTAGCAGTCCTTCACAGTCCAGTTTGCAAAAAGGGTTTAGGGTTTAGACTCGGGTTCAAAAAGGGCTTTGGGTTTTACATCCCACTAAGGCTGAGCCTCGGCTTCAAACCCACCCCGATAGGGTTTAGGGTTTAGGGTTTAGGGTCTAGGGTTTAGGGTTTAGGGGTTTAGGGGTTTAGGGTTTAGTTTAGTAGGCCCAGATGCCTCCCCAGCAAGAAAGGATTTAGTAGGCTTAGGGTGAGGTGTATTTCAGCTGTTCAGGTCTGGCTGTGGCCGTGTTGGGATGTGGGTTTCGTGCCGAAGGGATGGTTGGGGCTCGGGGCGAAGCTTCACACTGCATCTGGATGTCCTTAAGATGAGGGTCTATAGGGTTGAGGGCTTAGGCTTTAGGATTCTGGGGGTTTAGGGTTTAGGGTTTAGGGTTTAGGGTTTAGGGTTTAGGGTTTAGGGTTTAGGGTTTAGGGTTCAGGGTTTAGGGTTTAGGAGGGTTCAGGCTTTAGGGTCTCAGACAACCCGGCGAGGAGCAGATGATCCGTCTGCTTGCGGAGAGAGGCTCGTGGCCGAAGCCCTAAACCCTCAACCCTAATCTTGTCCCAACAGGGCTGCCTCGAAGACTCATGAACAACGAGGGACCCCCCTGCAGTGCGATGATCTGCATCAGCTAGGCAGGTGGCGAAAAAACCTATAAACCCTCAACCCTAACCCTAAATAAACCCTAAACCCTAAACCTTAAACCCTAAACCCTAAACCCTAAACCGGCAACATGCCCTGGAAGTCTGATCGTCGCTGAACTTCTATCTCGCAGCAGCTGCAACGCCTCCACACATGTGGCTGATTGTCGACTGGACCCCCTTGTCCCGTGTAGCATAAAATCCTCAAAAGAGATTCCTAAACCCGAAACTCTAAAACCCTAGAACCCTAGAACCCGAAACCCTAAGCTCTAAACTCTAGAACCCTAAGCCCTAAACCCTAAACCCTAAACCCAGAGCAGCCCCAGCTGGCAGCGGCTTTCTGGCAGGCTACAAGACTGCATGGGCCCAGACCGACATGAGTGAGGATGGGCGAGGCGACCTCATCGCCTGGAAGTGAAGTCAGCGATCTTCTTAGGGTTTAGGGTTTAGGTTTTAGGGTTTAGGGTTTAGGGTTTAGCTTTTAGGGTTCTAGGGACTATTTAATCGTATTCCCTTTATTATAGTCCCTTTCGTAACTATTCCAGAACAAGTCCCGAAACCCTATTCTTATGTTTAAGGCCCCTATATGATTTGGCCACAGTCCCCTAAAACAGGCCCCGCCGTCGAAGCAAAACGGGTAGATAAACCCTAAATCCCCACCCCCCCCCCCCCCCCCCCCCCCCACCCTAAAAAAACCTAAGCCCTAAACCCTGAACCCTGAAACCCTAAAACCCTAAACCCTAAGCGCTAAACCCTAAACCCCTAAAACCCTAAACCCTAAGTCCCATGGTGGGTTTCGAACTCAGGTTTCCCTGCCACGCCTTGACAGCACAGGGGGTACAAGGCTTCCTGTGTAGCGAGAGACCCAACGACGCGGAAAAGGCCGCTGCGCGTAACGTTCAAGAAGTCCCTAAAGCCCTAAAGCCCTAAAGCCCTAAAGCCCTAAAGCCCTAAAGCCCTAAAGCCCTAAACCCTTAACCCTAAACCCTACATACCCTATACATACCCTATACCCTGTAAAGCCTAAACCACCCACCCCCTAGGTTGCTTTGTGGGGTGCCAGAAGCTTCAACCCTAAGACTCCCGACGCTTTTGCAACGCGATTTCGGTTCCGACCCGCCCAAAACGACACCCCATAAAACCCTAAACTAAACCCCAAACCCTAAACCCTAAACCCTAAACCCTAAACCCTAGACCCTTAACCCTAGACCCTAGACCCTAAACCCTAAACCCTAACCCTAAACCCATCTATAAGCAACCCCCCCCCCCCAAAAAAAAAAAAAAAAAAAGACATCACAGTTGGAAAGGAGCTGGAGGCCCATGTGGCCGAGCGGCTGCACAAGGCGGGTGGCACTTTGCCCTCCCAGGATACACCCCCTCAGCGAAGTCCGTTTAGGGTTTTGGGTTTAGGGTTTCGCCTGCTGCAAAAAAGGGTTCAGGGTTTAGGGGTTTAGGGTTTAGGGTTTAGGGTTTAGGGTTTAGGGTTTAGGGTTTAGGGTTTAGGGTCAGGGTTTAGGGCTGTTTTGTTTTAGGGTTTAGGTTTTCCGGGAATGCCAAAACCCCTGAATCCCAAAAGGGTCCTTCGTCACAGAGTGTAGAATTCGTTCCGCCTTAGCAAGAGAGCCTCTACCCTAAACCCTAAACCCTAAACCCTAAACCCTAAACCCTAAACCCTAAACCCTAAACCCTAAACCCTAAACCCTAAACCCTGTCCTTGTACCCACGTACAAGCTAGAGAGCCTCCTTGTGCTATTGCCCTAAGCCTCAAGGGGTTAAAACTTGGACCCCTAAGGTTGTACCCCTAAAGGGTTCCCTTAATAAATATACTCCTATCATGGCTCTTCCATTCCCTTAGAGGATCTTTAACCCAAGGGCACAACCTTAGGGGTCCGAGGAAGAGTCCCTTGGCTGTATGAGGATCACCCTTAAACCCTAAACCCTAAACCCTAAACCCTAAGCCTTAAACCCTTTCGTGGTTTAATCGGGTCACCTAGGCTCATACTTACTGCAGACCTCCGAAATGAGGGTTTCGGTGTTGAGGGCAGGCCTCCCCAAGAAAAGAATCACATGGGTACGGTGATTTTTGGAAACCCTCATGTACGGTTCAGCTCCCAGCCACTCTGTGACTTGACTTGCCCTAAACCCGAAACCCTAGACCCTAAACCCTAAACCCTAAACCCTAAACCCTAAACCCTAAACCCCAAACCCTAAACCCTAAACCCTAAACCCTACGCAGGGTTGAGGGCTTTGGGGGGCTTCCAAGTCGGCACACCCAACCTGGCACCCAAGCTCGAAAGCACCAGTTCGGAGTCGGATACCTACCAAGATGGGCTGTTGCAGGAACCGGGTTTAGGGTTTAGGGTTTAGGGTTAACAGTCCTTTTGTTCATGGGCTCATGGTTATGTGGCTCTTTGATGAGGTTCATGGGGATTATGACTCTGAGACCTCGTAGCCCGTCCTGCTCCGTTCCCTTCTTGGAGGTTCACGGTACTTAGTAACTAATTCTAGCTGCACTTATAACCACTTATAAGTCTCCCAAGTCTAGTTACCTAGGCTATCCTTGAGTTATAAGTAGAGTTGGAATTCGTTACTAAGCACCATGAGCCTCCAAGTTGGCGTCCCCGCGCACGCGGACGCGCACGCGGACGCGAGGCTCTCGCCGCCATGCCCAAGAAGGATCCCCAAAGCCACCAGAAGAGCTCTGAGCTGCCAGGGACCCAGGGTGGTTTAGGGTTTAAGGTTTAGGATTTAGGGTTTAGGATTTAGGGTTCAGGGCTGAAGGTTTGGGGTTTAGGGGGGTTGAGGGGGTTTAGGGTTTAGGGTTTGGAGGCCCGAGCTTCTGTGGTGGTCCCCTGGTGTTTCCCTGGGGGATGGGGAGGGGGTTTTCTCTGTGTGCTTGTTCTTTTGCTGTAGCATCCCAGTCGACCAGTTGGGTATTTCCCAAAATAGGGGTAGCCCTTTTACACCCCGAATAGAATAGAATCCCCTTAAAGGGAACCCCAAACAGGGCACCCCTATTTTCGGAAGCCCCGGTTCAGTGACATGTCGTGCATTGTTGCTTTTGGGTGTCGATCAAAATCGCCCAACAACCCGAAACCCTAAACCCTAAACCCTAAACCCTAAACCCTAAACCCTAAACCCTAAACCCTAAACCCTAAACCCTACGGAATGTGGTGGTACATGTGTCTCAATCTTCGAGGGGTGGTTGCGAGTTGTTCCTGGAGGGAGCGAGTGACGCCCCAGAGGGCTTCTCGGGGTTGATGGCTCTTTCCGATCCAGCCAATGCGCTGGGCTGGTCTTTTGCGTGGATCGCGCGCGGCCCTCAGATCATGCAGCAGAAGCCCTAAACCCTAAGGCCGCTGGCCAAGCTTCTGCACAACCGGGGCATATCATTCGATCGCACGCCGCCTGCTTCAGGCTTGCGCGTGGAAGCCCTGAAAGCCGAACCATGCACCATTCCCCGTCACATGCACCCACACGATTCCCTCCCTTCCTCGCTTTAGGGTTTAGGGTTTAGGGTTTAGGGTTTCCATGGGCTAAGGAAGGCTTGCAGCAAGAAGTCTCATGATGCTGTCGACTTCCTCAACAGGCCCCTCTTCTTCGGTGCTGGGTCTGGGTTGTAAAGTTTATTCCTGCCAGGGGCTCGCATTGCACTTCTTGGGTATGAAACAATCTGAAGCCCTAAACCCTAAACCCTAAACCCTAAACCCTAAACCCTAAACCCTAAACCCTAGACCCTTTCAGGCTGTTTAGGGAAGCCTGGAACTGACTGCTCCTGCTGGCTAGCATGTGCTTGGTACTTCGTTGGTGATGATGCCTTGTTTAGGGTTTAGGGTTTAGGGTTTAGGGTTTAGGGTTTAGGGTTTAGGGTTTAGGGTTTAGGGTTGACAAGTGAGCTGTTCTGGCAAGTTGGCTAGTCGCACCAAGTCTCATGAGCCTTTTCGAACATTTTGCCGCGCGCGAGCGAGCGTGAGAGTCGAAACCCTAACTCCCTGCCCTAAACGCTAAACCCTAAACCCTAAACCCTAAACCCTAAACCCTAAACCCTAAACCCTAAACCCTAAACCCTAAACCCTAAGCCCTAAGCCCTAAGCCCTAAGCCGTGCTGTAGAACCATATACCGGGGGTTCTCACGATGCACCATGAGTCGCCAGACAGCCGCGCAAGATGCACGCCTGAATGGAGCGGCTAGCCATTTTGGGTTTTGGGATTTGGGGTTTAGGGTTTAGGGTTTAGGGCTTAGGGTATGATTCGCGTGTGGTTACTCATGGTGACATGGGTGAACAGGAGATTTTGCGTCAGGTTGCGTGATGTGACTTCTGAGAAGGTGCATGTTTGCCGGCAGCCTCTTAAGTCCGTTGCCAAAAAAACCCTAAACCCTAAACCCTAACCCCTAACCCCAAACTCCTGTACATGTTAGGATGTGGTGCCTATAAGTTTTGTATACCGAAACCACTGTTCGAAAACAAATGGTCTAGTCAACCCAAACCTCTAAACCCTAAACCCTAAACCCCTAGAAACCCTAAACCTCTAAACCCCTAAACCTCTAAACCTTCAACTCCAAGTGTACCAAAAAAGCCTACAAGCCCTACACCGTAACCCATTTCACCCCTACTGTAAGCGGGACTATGGCTGGAAGAGCCCCAAGCCCATGTCTAATCCGAATCCGCAAGCACTGGTGGCACTGGCTTAGGGTTTTTCAGGTTTTTTCAGGGTTTTTCAGGGTTTTTCTTAAACCCTAATCCCTAAACCCTAATCCCTAAGCTTTCAGGGTTTCAGGGTCTTAGGGTTTTTTCGGGCGGGCTCCTGGGGTTCCACTGTTACCCTAAAGCCTAAAGCCGACACCCTACAAATGGCAAAACGCAGGCAGCGAGACGCCCTCCTGAACTTGAACAGCGAGCACGGCTCAGGCTAGGGTGTCGGGTTTAGGGTTTAGGGTTAGGGTTTAGGGTTTAGGGTTTAGGGTTTAGGGTTTAGGGTTTAGGGTTTAGGGTTTAGGGTTTAGGGTTTAGGGTTTAGGGTTTAGGGTTTAGGGTTTAGGGTTTAGGGTTTAGGGTTTAGGGTGTGTAGGGTTTAGGGTGCGTAGGGTTTAGGGTTTGGAGCCACAAGTGTACTCTTCTGTCTTTAGGGGACGGGGCAAATTGGCCCTGATTGGGCGTTGAAGGGCTCAGGGTTTATGGCTTTATGAGGGCTGGGGGCGAAGGTCATGACTTTTTCCGGCTTAGAGCTTAGGGATCTCCTCATGACTACAGGTGATGTCGACCCGATGCACTTCCCTACTACCCCCCCTCAACTACCCCCCCGAAAATTCCCCCATAATTAATGCTGTTTAGGGATCATTTAGCCTAATCAAGCCTCTTTATAGTCTTTAGTCCAATTTAGGGTATTTCGAATCTACTTATAGACCCTAAACCCTAA